GGAGAGAGACCTGAGATCACATTGCAGCACATTGATTTGAAGCAGGTGCAGCTTTGAGACAGTTTCTGCTATCTCAGCCACCTCCCACGTTCCCGTCTGGATTGCAAACTTAGGTTGTTTTTCCCTTCCTCCCCCTTTCCCCTCTTGTCAAGAAAATTTACAGAGCTTGTCCTTCATCTCCTTCCAAAGATAGAGCTTGTGGAAGGAAACCAGCAGAGAGATGCTGAATCTTATCAGGGTTCCCTGCACTTAAGCTGTCAGCTGTAGCTGGGGTGGGATTTCCTCTTGGTTTCATGTAATTGTAGAAAAGAATTTTTTTGTGATTTACCTGGCATTTTCTAATTCAGAGAACTTAGAACAATTCCACCTTTACAATTTACTGTTTGTTCTCCTTCATATCACGCAGTCGCGATGGCAAGGGGAGTGGTTATGCTGTCTGAAGTGTAACTCTCATGATACAAGCCTATGTACAGAGAAGATGTTCAGTGGGTCTGTATAGCCCTTAGGAGACCACTGCGTAGTTCTCCCACCAGGGAGGAGATGTGATTCAGGTGCCCAAAACACAAAACCGGGACTGCCTTTTTCTCAAGAAGAGATGCACACAGACCCCATTGCTTTTCTTGCCTTGGTTCAGGATCTGGGGAACAACAGTTCTGGGGATGTTTGACAGCAAACCTGCTCTGGGTCCAGGAGCCTTGTAAGGGAATTGTTTGCTTCCTGGAGATGAAATCCACCGTAATTACAAAAGCAGGTTGTTGTGTCGCCTTCCATCTTAGACTGACATTTCCAAATGTGCGTCCATCCTCACAGGGGAGCATCACTGCAGCCAGCACTCATCAACGGCACTCTGGGTGAGGGACTAAGTCACCAGCCAGCTCAAAAAGCCAGCTCACCAGGGCTTGCTCACACACGTCAAGTCGGTCCCTGTCTCCAGTCGTAGCTGCCACCGCAGTGGCCTGAGGCAGCAGCTCGGTGCTCAGAGGTGGCTGGCAGGGCTGCAGGGAGGCCAGTGGGACACGTGATGCCTGTCAACTCCTAGCCACATCTTGAAAGGCTCTTTTTTTCCTGCTTTCTGTCTGTTTTGAAAAGCAGGGTGCTACCTCGTTTAATGGTTTGATAGACCGCTTGGGCAATTTTTGCTAGAGGATTGTTTGGAATTTTTGTTTTTTGCAGTGCGTCTCCCTAAAGGATTGCTGTCTTAAGTCTAGAGCAGGGAGCTGGGGGGGCTGAATCCCCCCTGGGAGGGGATGCTGCACTGCCTAGATGAGATGTGGCTCCCGCTGTTGTGGAGATGTGGCACAGGAACTTCCCATGGCACTTGCAGAGAAACGTCGCAGTGATAACTCTTGCCAGGCTGCTCGCAGCGCGGGAGGCTGTTGTGTCCAGAGCTGCAGCTGCTTTGTTAGAAATCACACAAGTAGTGGATTTGCTTTGTGTATTCACGGAGCCGGTAATAACGAGCTTGTTACTCTACAATAAACTTTACAAAACCCAGAGTTCTCTCAGCATAAGGATAGGAAGGCTCAGATTTCTTGCCAGCAGCGCAGGTATGTCAGGGAGTGTGCACCTGTATGAAGTCCATTGCTGGAGATACTGTCTGTAGTTGGAGATTTTGGTCCTAGGTGAGGTTATGCTCCTGCTCCACCATGTGATAAAGAGGAGGAACAAAAGCAGCTGCTCAGTAAAATAAGAACTGAGAGACCAGTGGCTTGCAATTATCCAAAGTGAGTTAAAACTTCATGATATTAGGGGACAAGCCAGTTCACCCAAGTTGCACAGAGCAGCTAAAGCCATGCAGTCACCTCTGTTGATAGGCCTGTTGCTTAGGCTTCCTCAGAAGATTATGTTCAGTTGCTAGACCTCCAGTAGCTTTCAGTGTATTTAAGAAATGAGGAGCTGCAAAACATTAGCTGTAAATTCTCCCTAGCAAGTTGCAGATTTCAGAACACACAGCAGAAAATAGCTTGGTGGCTGAGAACAGAGGAGGCTAAAGATCAAAAGGAGTGTCCCAGCCACTGGCTTTTCCTGCCCTGCAGCTGGGTGTGTTGTGTAACTGGGCTGCACAACACGCTGCAGCCACACTTTCAGCAGGAACCTTCATGGTGCAGTCTCAGCGGGGATTTTGGCTGCAGCAGCGTAAGATGTCCTGTGCTGTTGCAAATTGGAAGGCAGCCTTTGCTGACCTGAGCAACTGGCTCAGGCTTCCAGTAGGTGCTTCAGAAATGCAGTGCTGGAAGAAAAAATAAAAATCAGTGTGTCATTTGTGACTCCAGTCCAAAGCTTCTTCAAAGCAAGCCCTTTGAATTCTTGCAATTAAGCAGTAAAGTTTGCTTCTGAAGCTATGCATGTCCCCCCCCTTCCCCTATGCCCAGCTTTCTTTCTTCATTAGCATTCAAGGCCTAGGAATAGTTATTCCCTGTTTGATTGTACCTTTGGTGAACAGCTGAAAGGTAGCAGTGTTGCTGTTCAGTGATTCCGAGATGTGAAAGGCAGAGAAGATGCTTCATACCAATTAGCTAACCGCGGTGGCAGTCGGGCTGTGGGTGTGCAATAAGTCCTGTTTTTCATGGAAGGGCTTCAGTTAAGAAGTCGCCTTGTAGTTTATTTCATCTCAGGATCGAAGTAATTTCTCCCCCTTCCCAGAGCCAGATACTGAGTTTATACTGTTTTAACGTCAAATACATTAAGTCGTCTTGACGTGAGCGAGAATGATAGTTGTTGCAGGGGTGCCAGCAGGTTGTATGGCCAGCCAGGCTCTGCTCTGCTGTCTTCTCCTTTGCCTGCAAACACCTCACCCGATCTGTCTGCATGGCAATGAAAACTGAATGTTATTTTCCAAAAATAGTATTATTGCCTTTCAGAGCTGACCACAGGTAAAGAAACCATTTGGAGTCAATAGGTAGTAAAAAAATGTAATCACGTGTCTATCAAAATGTTAATCAAAATACCCTTGTCGTGCACTGCCCTACCCCAGCCCCACAGCACCTTCCTGGCCACCTCAGCACCCCGTCCCACCAGCACCCTGCGTGTACTGGCTGCTGTGAGAGAGGACAACAAAGAGGAGGGAGGCTCTGGAGACCCCTCACACCCTTTACTGTTTATGGGCTACAAGGTGGCTGCCCCACTTGCTCATCGGTCTCCTCATGGTCTTGGAGAAGGAAGGAAAAAGACTTTTAGGTATACAGTTACGTGGGGTTTTTTCCCAGGTAAGTATGAAGAACTCATTAGGAGGACATGGAGTCTCCTTGAGAGACCTTAACAGGTAACAGTTCAGATGAACTGGATGCAATATGGTTGGGCTTAAATCAACTGAATCCCAAGTTCCTGCTGGTTGAAGTATTTAAGAGAGCTGATTTTTTAAATCCTTGTTCATACAAGAGAAATAGAAACCTTTTGATGACCATATCCATGACATGCATTATTTTCCCTCTTCTTGTCTCAGTGCATACTCGGCTCATTCTGTCCTGAATAAATAAAACAAATGTCCCACAGCTGGATGTGAAATCTCATGGCAGGGCTGTAGGTGAGAAGTGGGAAGCTGTGCCCTCCCTTGTGTTTTTCTGCAGCAAGAAAGCTTAACAGTTGCTAAATGGCTTTATACGAGCATTTCCTTGCAAAATCTTGTGCTATCCTTCAGCTAGATAGCGCTACACAAATGAGGATTTGTCAGGTCTAAAAGCAAGTATGGAAATTAACCAGTAAAAATTGTTCCGCACCAGGTTGTAGCTCAAAGGATACGTTTATGCTGTGTTGTAAGAAAACCAGTGGCAGTTATGCCCCTCTTAGGACTACACCAAATAGTGCAAGAAAGCTGAATTAAGCAGTTGTTCTATGTATAGACAGGTCATCACTAATTACCCATGATGGTGAAGATAAGGGAATTGTGCTTGGCTTGTTAACACTGTGAAATAAGCGACGTGGCTTCAGTCTGGTTTGGCTCTTCTAAAGTTTCATGTACAATGGCTTTAGGGCAGGAGAGAATATTTCACGTTGTATGAATCAGTATAGATAAAATTGCTCATTAACTTTATAAAAGTGCTTCCTTGGGCAAAGTCTAAGAGAAATGTCCAGGGTGCCCGTTTTTCTCTTGAGTTCCTTTAATGTGTTCTCAGTCTTTATTTGGTAAAAGTATTTTGATTTTATTTCCTTGGTGTTTGGGATAATACCTATTACAAATCCAGGGACAATTAGGAGAAGAGCTGACTGTTAAGGTATTCTCAGCAGGAAAGTAAAACCAAGCAAAGAAATTGGAAAAGGGTAGGCATGAAGTTCTGCTGCAATGAAGCACCACTTTGTAAGTTTGAAGATGCACGTAGTAAGTGCTCTCAGAGCAAACTGGTAACAGTAGTTTGACTTGCTAGGAGAAAAAAGACCCTATGAGAGGGACTCATCTGACATGGCTTTATACATATGATGTAGCCATCCACATCTGAGCTAGTTGTAAAACCTTCCTGTACAGTCACCAGAGATACAGGCTTTTTCAGGATGTTAACAGGCTGGCTTGCTTTAAGTGTGTGTCTTAAGTGGAGATGAAATGTGTCCAAGTATCAGATCCCCTCCATGAACAGGAGGGGAGTGCTGGGTGATAGTTCAAGTATCCATGAGTGGTAAAATGAAACCTAATCTATGGGACAATTTCTGGTGCTTATTTCTTCTTTCTTCCCAGTAGTTTCAGCCTGGCTAGACAACTGCTTGCAATCTGGGGACTTCAGAGAGTTGCAGTCTTTACAGAATAACTCTGATTACTGAATAATGTGTGCCAGCCTTTGGGGTGAGGGCCATCTCTTTGTTTTGTGTTCATCCAGCCTCAGGCACAGCAGGGTCCTGCCCCAGGATGGCCCTCCTGTACGCTACCACAACACAGATAATCAATAATAGCAGACTTAATTAGAACTTTGATCAGTCTCTCTTCCCTCTAATTCACTCTGTTTTAAATCCCTGTGATGTCTAAATGAGGTTTGATAACAATTCTCTGTCTCTCATTTCCTCCCGTCCCACAGGAGCACATTTACAAGCTGATGAAGAGTGACAGCTACGCGCGCTTCCTCCGTTCGAATGCTTACCAGGACTTATTGCTGGCAAAGAAGAAGGTATCTGTTGGAAAGGACGTGCTTGCATCTCTTAGCACCTCTTGATTCTCGCCTGCTGCTTGCTGCTAGTGTGAAAACGAAAATATTGTTTCCTTTTTTTTTTTTCTTTTTCCTTTATTTAAGAAAGGAATGGGCACTTTTGTTTTCTTCACTGGGGGCACAGGGTACGGCATCCGTATGCACGGCCTCAACGTGTGTTCTGGGGAAAACATGGTCACCCAAGGTAAAAATAATACGGAAAAGTTACTGTCTTGCACAGCTGTCTCCCAAACTCAGTGCAGGTAATTAAAATTGCCTCTTCCTCTTGACAAAGATGGTGTCTGGTATGAGAAGTAAACCCCATCAACCTATTCATTTCTGGTACAAAATTCACCTGTTCTGGTGTTCACCTCCCTGGCCTCACCATGTGCTCTTTCTTCCCTTTGGATGCCTTACCTGTAGACCTTCCTGCAGCGATTCCCATGCTCCTTTTCTCCCGTCCCTTTGCTTTTGGCTCCCCAGAGATGTTTCCTTTTCCTTGGAGATGAGAAATAATTGCAACCCATGCAGTTATCAAGAATTCCAGTCACATTTTCTCACAGGAGAACTGAGTTTGAGCACTTTTTTAGCTGTTTTGGTGTCTGCATGTGCTCTGCCAGCACCATGTTTCTGCCAGCACCCCCCCAGTTCAGGGTGGCAGAGGAGTGGTTATGTAGAGTTATGGCAGCTCCTGTCCAAGTGTCCCTTCTTTCTGAGGGGGCCAGGAGGTAAGATACTAATCTCTGCATTTATGGTTGTGTTCAAATGCTTCCTGCACCTCCCGACTTCTTCCCATAAGTTTGCACGTCCGACGCTGTGCATGTGCATGCGTGTACACGTGTACACGTCCCACTTACACGTGGCTTCCAGGACTGTCCAGCCACATTTTCTCACAGGAGAACTGAATTTGAGCACTTTTTTAGCCGTTTTGGTGTCTGCATGTGCTCTGCCAGCACCATGTTTCTGCCAGCACCCCCCCAGTTCAGGGTGGCAGAGGAGTGGTTATGTAGAGTTATGGCAGCTCCTGTCCAAGTGTCCCTTCTTTCTGAGGGGGCCAGGAGGTAAGATACTAATCTCTGCATTTATGGTTGTGTTCAGATGCTTCCTGCACCTCCCGACTTCTTCCCATAAGTTTGCACGTCCGACGCTGTGCATGTGCATGCACGTACACGTGTACGTCCCACTTACACGTGGCTTCCAGGACTGTACATAAACCGACTCCTGACTCCTGCAGCCCGAGCGTGTGGTTTCCCATCACCATCTTCCCTGCTGTTTTTCTGCTGCATTCTCTGTGTGCTGCCAAATTGCATTGCATCGGCACAATACAATGAAATCCCAGTGGTATTTTTGTCCTGATTGTCATTGCGTGCCCTAAAAGCATGCATATGGTGACAAAAAAGAAGACAAACCCCTCTGTCTCCTGTGCCTGGGACTACTGGCAGGTGGATTAGGGGAAGGTAACAGAGGGCAGCAGTCAGCGCTGTGTTTTAAAATGTCTGGTTTGAGACAGCATGGACCAGTGCTGCTTACATTTGAAAAGGTTAGAGCTGACTTAGAGTTCAGAGGCTGTGGGGAAAGAAGAAGGTGCAAGGCAAAGTCTTCTGATGGTATAAAGCATAAAAAACCTTTGCCATCTTCCTACCCCTGTCAGCTAACAGTGTGTGTCTCCCACCCCCAAGTCTGTCTCAAACACGAGGGTTCAGGTGCTTCAAAGCAGGAGAGTTTTCTCCTCCCAGCTGAGCCCATTCAAACTGGAGGTGGGTTGGGTTTGTTTTTTTTTTTTACAATCCTTGTTTGCTGTCAGATCAAACCCTGAAAGTGTCAGCGTGACATCCTCATCCCCCCCACAAAACTGCCGGAGGAGCAGGGTTTGGTGTCATGTTAATGCAACCATGAAAATAAGAATCAAGTTTCTTTTAGAAAGAGCCGTGGATGCACTAGTAAACATAGCGAGGCGCAAAAAAGGCAGGAGTAGATGTGTGTAGATGGGTTGTTCACCAGCTTCACACAATGCTGGGGTGGTGGTGGGGGAAGTTGATGTTACTCCAGAATCTGTAAAGCTCTTTGCAATCATATTGCATTGTGTTGGGCAAGTGAACATTTCTAAAGCAGTGCAGGTACAGAGATGCTGACAGAAAGAACATGGAGTTTCTGTTCACTGAGTTACATGGTAAGATTTTTAGTACCTTCAGTGCAGCTTTGAGGAGGCATCCCTTTAAAATTCTTCTAAATAGCTAGAAAGCAGAGGAAGGAAAAGAGAAACCGAGTGGCATATCAGAGCCTGCCTGGATGGGGGATTTGGTTTACAGCCTGCATACAAAGTGCTGGGTTCACTGATGTGAGTAGAAATTCACTGCAGTTGTTTGAGACTTGATGAGTACGTCTCTCTGGGGCATAAGTATGTCTTGCCCCACAGACATTATCCTAATGTTGCCTGCGTACCACACCAATATGACATAGCCTTACTTTTATTGCTGAAAATAAGTTCTGTCAGAAGCACAGCATGATAGACTTGGGCTAAAAGAATTGCTTGCACAAAGGAAATGAACTTCTCTGTGGCTTGAGATTCACACATGAATATTTTGTGGGTAAGTTTATTGCATTTGGGATCTTTTGCCCTCCAGCACTGGGTTATGGCAAGCTGAGTGTGCAGGAGAAGGGAAAAGATTGACTGTGTGGCTAAAACATAGGACTGGGAGCCACAAAATCCATGCATTTCCCCTGGTTCTCCTACTTCCTTTCTTGTGTGACCCTAGAGAAAAGAGGTTTCAACTTTGCCTGCTCATATCCTTTTCTCTGTCAAATGGGAATAATAGCGACCTGCTCAGTGGAGAGGTGGCAAGGCTTGATCAGTGCCTCAAAACATGCTTGACATTTTTGAGATTTGTAAGACACTGCGAGTTTGAAGAGTTTCTTTTTTTCCACACCATACAATATCCACAGATGTGGGAGCTTCCCCTCCTTGCTCTGGGAGTGCAGTAATGGAGGAGAGGGAGGGAGGAGAAGTTATGGGTCGGGACTGAGATACAATGACAGAATTATGAGGGGCACCAGGGAGGATAAAAAGAACATATTGTTCACACCACTAACTGATGCAAGACAGTGGACATAGGCTGAGCACAGACCAGGCATACATACTTTGTTAATCCCTTTTGGACTTTTTTTTTTTCCCCCCCTCGTTCTTCCCAGTGTCGTTATTACAAATAACCACAGAATTATTGGCCTCAATCCTGCAGATTCATGGTGCTCAGCGGGGAGCATGAGGTTGGCCTCCAGCAAGGGTGTGATTGGAAGCAGTGTGCTGCCGAGGGGGAGAGCTGGGTGTAGCTCCCCGCCTCGCACAGAAGTCCTCCTCCCCTGCCAGGCTGGAGGAGAGGAGGGGACAAGGACAGAGCCCTGTCCTCAGGAGGAAAGGCCATACACCCATCCCAAGTGGAGCTCTGGGCCTCCATGGCCAGCCTTGCCCCCTGCAGCAGAGAGGAATCACGGGTCTGCTGGAGGCGGAGGGCTCAGCGGTGAAGAGCTGGATGGTGCTGAGATCCCAGACCGACTCATCGCGTGTTATTTGTGTATCTGCACAACACGCCCCACTCGTGCAGAGTCAAGCGTCGACCTGCTCCTTGTTCTGCTGATAGGCACGTTACTGCGGGCTGCTTGACAGCAGGTAATCACCACCCCACCATCCCCCAGCCCTCCTCCACAAGTAGCCAAAATGGTGGCTGGATGTCCTCAGACAGCAGCCAGCCTTCTGTCAGAATGAGTGGCGTGACAAACCTCCTTGCTTGAGCCAAGGAGGAGTTTGGGCCAGGTGACATGGCTGCAGAGCAGGGGTTTATTCCCTTGGGGAAAGAGCAGGGTGGATTAGTTAGTGCACCATGGAAAGGATGGGGGTGCACAGGAGCTGTGTGAACGGTGAAGGAGCAGCCAGACATGCTCTGGTAGTTATTTTTGAGGAGAAGGGAGAGAAAGGAAGAGAAAAGACCTTGAGGCACTTTCTGTTGCTCCCTGTAAAGGTGAATCGATGACATTGGTGGGCATCTCCGAGTTAGCAGGCACTTGACTGCTAACTGATGGGTCCAGCGGAGGGCCACAAAGATGATCAGAGGGATGGAGCACCTCTCCTATGAAGACAGGCTGAGAGAGATGGGGTTGTTCAGCCTGGAGAAGAGAAGGGTCTGGGGAGACCTTATAGCGACCTTTCAATATCTGAAGGGAACCTACAGGAGAGCTGGCGAGGGACTCTTTGTCAGAAGTGTAGTGACAGGACAAGGGGTAACGGTTTTAAATTGGAAGAGGGGAGATGTAGATTAGATACCAGAAAGAAATTCTTTACTGTGGTGGTGGTGGTGAGGCACTGGAAGGAGTTGCCCAGGGAAGTTGTGGATGTCCCATCCGTGGAAGTGTTCAAGGCCAGGCTGGATGGGGCTTTGAGCAACCTGCTGTAGTGGGAGGTGTCCCTGCCCATGGCAGGGGGGTTGGAATTTGATGATTTTTAAAGTCCCTTCCAATTCTAACCATTCTATGATTCTGTGACTGCCAGCTGAAGTGGCAGCTGAGCTGTCAGGGCTCAGGTGCTCCTGGCAGCCCAGCATGGGATGGCTCCCTGCCATCCATCCCTGCCCACAGGCAGGGGAGCATCCTCAAAAGGCAGCCGTGGCTGCTGTGCAGACGGGCTGGGAAGCCACAGGAGTGATCCCCATCGTACCAGGTGAAGAGCTGGTTGGTGTTTGCTTGGTTGAGAGCATTGTTTTCCTCTCCAGCTGGTTCAGAGAAGGGTGAGTTCTCTGTGGCCCTGTGCAAATGGAGACAAAACAGGTGGAAAATCCTGTTCCAGCCATTTGGTCGTGGTGTGTATGCCCTTTGCTTTCCTGCCTTGGACAGGTGTACATGACTGCCTGAGGAGCCCAGGACCTGCTCCTGGCCTTTTCCTGAGCCGGGGTCAGGGAAGTGGTTATCCTTTATTTTCACTGATGCCGTTCCCTCTGGAACATGTGGTTTTCACCAAGTTAAAGTTCAAAAAAGCCCCACCCCAAGCTCCAAAGTCTCATACCAAAAAAAAAGGGATTCAATAGCCAACAAAATGAAGCCTGGGGTGCAGGGAGGGAGGGAGGAATTCTAACAGACCTGCAGTTCAGAAGACTAAGCTTTTGGATGTATTTCTGTACCCCTTTTCAGATTCCTGGCAAAAAGTGTCAGCAGGGCAATGGCTAGGAGCTTTGTGCCACGAGGGACAGGCTCCATGTTCAGCACATACCTTTTGAAACGTTGCTTTTATCCAGAACCCCTGTCTCAACTGTTCTATATTGTTCAGGAAGGTTCCTACTGCAGATTTTGTCCCCATCTCAGTCCCATCAGGGCACACGCAGCCAGTTTGATTCAGTGGCAGGACTTGGCTTGAATGTTGCAAAGATGCTGAACAATTTTCTCGTAATTACTTTTAATAATCAGTGTCAGATGGTTTTCATGAAGTTTTTTTCTACTTACACTGCTCTGTGCCAGCAGAATCTACACAAAGGAACTTAAAACTGGGATGGCTAGGTGAATAATTTATCAAATAAAAAAAAGGAAATTTTGGAGTAGACAATCACTAATTAGTGAATGGCTCCTAAGTGGTGAGATCTGTTTTTCTGCATCTACCTGGGCTGAGAGGTTTTCATCTACAGCAGGGGTGGTCGTTTCGTATTTTATCCGAGTGCACATGTCCTTTGCCGTTAGCTGGTAAAATCTGTTGGTGTATTCAGTGCAAAAGATGGCCTTTTTTGCACCTAGGAGGACTGCTTGACCTGGCACGTGCCTGCGTTTCTCTGCCTGTGCCCTTTGCACTTGCCGTGTGTGTTGGTGCAAACACTGCTGTGGTGCTGCCACAGGCGCAGCTCCGGGGTCCCAGCCTGCCTTGCCAGGCGCTTCCTCTGCAGGACCCCACATCTCTTCATGGGACTGAGGAAGGGCTGACCCCACCTCTTTTTATTTCTTTTCTTACTTGGTTTATTTTAAAATTTCCTTCCTCTGCTGCACGACGCAGCCTCCGCACCTCCGTGCTGCGCTGGAGGGATGTGGGCGGGCGGGCAGTTGCCCCCACAGCTGGCTGCTGGCCACATGTTCTGTGGGGACCACCACCCACACCCATGGCCACCAGAACCGCTCCAGCCGGCTCATCACTCTGCAGCCGGCCTGCTTCAGCTGCTTCTTATTTTACTGGAAAATGTCACGCTTTGACTCAGAGCTGGACGCTGTGGGGATGAGCTCCACACATCTCTCCACACATCCAGCTGGTCCCCGCCTGCCGTCCCCGTGCCAAATGTGCCGGGTGGCTGCCGCTTCTGCTCTCAAAGTGCTTTGGTGGGGCACCATCGGTGCTCTCCATGCCTGCTTCCCTCCCCACCTGTGTCTTCAGCCACAGTAGGGACACAGCCTCACGTGTGGCCGAGCTCTCAGTGCCCCAACAAAGTGCTCATCGTCTTTGGAGACCACTGTCCTGCCTTCCTGCTGGGCAGGAAGCTGCATCACCTTGCTGGCAGCAAAACCAGAGATGTGAAGTTTTGACGGCGAGTGCAAGGGCACAGCATGGCCGTTTTTCAGCAGCTCGCTCTCCTTGCCCCCCAGTACATGCCAGTTGCCCCCAGTTTAAAACGAAGTTGGGCCGGATGCTGGTTTTCCAGCCCGTAGCAATGTGATGCAGCAAACTTCACATGCCTTGCTCCACGGAGCGCTCTGTCCTTTGTCAAGGCATTTCTTCTCGACAGGGAGGTTATTCTCCCCCTCTGCTCTGCACTGGTGAGGCTACAGCTGGAATACTGTGTCCAGTTCTGGGCTACCCAGTTCAAGAGAGACAGGGAACTACTGGAGAGAGTCCAACGTAGGGCAACAAAGATGGTTAAGGGATTGGAGCATCTCCCTGATGAGGAAAGGCTCAGAGAGCTGGGACTCTTTAGCCTGGAGAAGAGAAGGCTGAGGGGAGACCTTATCAATGCTTATAAGTATCTGAAGGGTGGTTTGAGGGAGGATGGAGCCGGACTCTTTTCAGTGGTTCCCAGCGACAGGACGAGGGGCAACGGGCACAAGCTGGAACATGGGAAGTTCCATTCAAATACAAGGAAGAACTTCTTTAGGGTGAGGATGGCAGAGCCCTGGAACAGGATGCCCAGGGGGGTCGTGGAGTCTCCTTCTCTGGAGATCTTCAAGACCCACCTGGATGCAGTCCTGAGTGATGTGCTCTGGGCAATCCTGCTTTGGCAGGGGAGTTGGACTAGATGGTCTCTAGAAGGTCCCTTCCAACTCTGAAAATTCCGTGATTCCGTGATTCTCCTGGGTAAAGCTGTGCCTTTACCCGGGCTGCTGGCGGGTCGTGCCCCCGCTGTGGGAGACCAGCGCGGAGGCCTGGTGCAGGGCCATGCCCTGCTGTCCTCAGTCCCGCTCGCCAAGGTGGCAGGACCACAGCCTCTCGCTGTCACCTCTGCTGACTTGGGGTGCAGGGACACCTCTGAGGGCTCCTTCTGGGAGGGGATCTGCAATGCTCTAAGCACTTGCACTGCTACGCTCAGCGGAAGAGTGAAGGCTGACATTTCTTTTCTCTTTCCTCTCTCCCATGCAGGGAGAGGCAGCGAACCCTTGGGTTAGCACGTGTTAAATACTTCTTTGGGGAGCATTGGTCTGGGTGCGACACGTGTGTCACTTGGTACGTACTCTGAGGCCTTGGCTCCATCCTCAGTGTTTGTTTAAACAACCTGCCTCTACCTTTCACTGTTGATGCCTTTTTTGGGACGTCAGAGCTGGTGGTGTGGATTCCTCAAATGGTTGTAAGTGGGGAGGTTGCTTGACTCTTTCTTCTAGACAAAGAATATTACTTGTCTTAAAAGGTCTTATGTTCTGCTCTCGTCTTGGTGATGCGGCAGGGAGAATCAGCCCCATCTCTGTGCTTCAGACTAACCATCAGAGAGCTGCTGTTTATGGCAGCTGTGATGGGCATGCAGAAGAACCAAAAGGCTTTGCCTAGACTCACCTACGCAAGTTCTCATCCAATTTATCTGATATGCTTTTGACTTCCTTACATCTTCCCTATCTGTTTTTTGCACTGGTGCCTTATCCTGGGCATTGTTACTGCAGCTGAATCTGTGGCAGATGATATGGCAGGTAGGCACCTCTGATGAGCACCTCCAATGCAATGCTTATTTCCAGTGCGCTGCCACGCACCATCATTACTCTGGCTTTCTTTTATGTGTAGTTCCTGTCCTCTTCACTGCAGTTTTACTTCCATTTTATCACTTCTATTTCTCTGGCTCGCCACATTAAAATTAGTTTCTCTCCTGGAAATCAGCAGTGCCCACAGCTTTCTGACTGCGATGAGCTTTCCTTCATATTATTGAGTTTCTTCGCTTCTCCATAACAATTTTTTTCTCTTAGATATTCTAGCAGCCATGCCAATAAATTATTTAGTTCTTCCTTGTTAGTGACAATTAGATCTCCCTTGTGCCAAATGAATGAAGCGCTGCAGTGAGCAACCTTCTCAGGGATACGTTAATAAAGCCATGATGCACACGCTTGTCTTCTCACAGTGAAGTCGAATGTCTTCTTGCATATGAATAGTCCTGTACTCCAGATACAAAAATATCGGTGCCCCAAATCTGCCTGTATCTTTCCGTGGCCTTGCACAGACTTACATACTCTTATCTTATGGTTTGATGTAGCCAACGTTATTGGAAATGTGCTTCTACCCTCTGGATAAATAGAGGAGTGTAGGTTCCCTGGCGATGAGTTCAGTGGTGGTTTTCTTCCAGCCCTGTATTCACTCACACATTGCTTTTCAATATTGTAAAAGTTACTGTGGTTTTTTTCATCTCTCTAAGCAAGTAGATGGGAGCCTCCGATCAGCTGTTTGGCAGATGTTAACCAGAATCAGAGGTCCCAGCTCAAACAGCCAGAGAAGGAAAATTCAATGAACAAGAAATCAATACCAATAGCTGTGAGACACAGCAATGCACAGACGCTGTTTGAACCGTTCAAAAAGCTCACAGGAGAAAAGGTGACATTCTCCAAGCGTAAAAGTAGTGGTCTCTCATTCTTTAAGGGGCTTTGGTTTCCTATGTTTGCTATTGCAAACATTGATTTCTGCTTTTTACATTTTTTTATAACGTTTTCCCCTTGCTGCTTCCTTATATTTTGCTGCTGTTTTGAAAAACTGCATTTAAGCTGAAGGGTTTTTTCTGTATTTTTTTCTCCCCACTTTTTTCCCTGTTAAGCCAGAGAATGAGCAAGGTCGTAGAACTTCTCTAGAAAAGTTCACTCGCAGTGTGGTAAGTTCCTTTTCTTTTCCCTCCTCCCTTTCCTCAGAACTTCATTTTTAGTTGCGGGGAATGTGGATGCTTGACTTTTTATTTCATCCTTTATTTTTGCAGCTGGCATCTTTGCAGCTTCTCTTTCAATACCGTAGCTCATCTAAATTGTAGCTCTAAAGAAGGGAGGGGTGGGGAGGGAAGGAGAATTCCATAATGCTCATTCTAGCTTATCATCACCGCAAAAGCAAATTGATTTTTGTCTAGAATTAAATGCAAGGTTGTCTTTTTGCTGTGTTCCCACTACAGTATTTGTTGTGGCTTTTCCTTGCGCAATGAAGTAGAAGAGCATGGTTCTCATAGTGCCATTGCAAGAGTATCCCTATTGACCTCCGTGCATGGTTAATGATACCGTATGTATATACACATACATATCCACCCACAGCACTGCAGCCACTTCCTCCATTGCCCCCCTCTGTCAGAGCTCATGTAAATAGTGACAGGCAATACCCTTTGACTCGTTCATGGTATTGATCCTGGAAAAGGAGCACAGTATCTGCAAGAAACACAACACTGTTAAGCCTTATAGATAAGGGGATGGTGGGATCTCAAGGGCAGCAGACAGATGTCTTCTCCTGTCTTGTCCTTTGCCGGTCTCCATCCTCCAGCCAGTCTGATGGTGGTTCTGGTCAGACTGGTGTGGCTGCAGAGAGTTGCTGCAGCACAGGGTGGTGTTGGGCACCATCTGAGGCTGCTTCTCTCCAGCCCCTAGGGAGGACCCTAGATCATGGGCAAGACCCTCTCATTCCACTTGCTTTCAGGCATCTGCATGTGCAGAGAAATTTTGTAAAGGAAGGGAAGAGCAGGGAGAGGGTGCAGGACCAGAGGCTGATGCTGCAGAGCCAGGTGAAGGAGCAGGGACATGGGGCAGCACGGGGTGGGACAGGCTGTGTGCATGGGGTGGCACAGAACAAGCCCAGGGCTGGAGCTGAAGATGCAGCATCCAGGTCAGTGGGGAATTATTCTTGTGTTGCTCATATCAACTGTACTTTGGGTATGTCATGTGGTTTTGGCATACTGCTCTGCTCTGCACCCATCCTGAGATGTAAGGTGGTACTGGGACAGCAGAGGGTCATCAAGCATAGAAGCTACTGTCCAGAACAGTTATTTCACAGAAAGTTCATAGACCTTGTTACGGCTTTATAACAGCCTTATAATGAAGGCATTGGACTATGTGTATATACAGTACATATGCTTGCATTTATGTGGGTATGTATATTTATACATATGCTATATACGTACACACGGCATATAAATATTCAAACGTTTGTACATACAGATAGAAAAGGGGAAACTACGCAGGTAAGTGTGAGCTGTCGTAGAGCAAATAAGCCTAGAGGGGTTCTTTCTGTCGCTGCCATGCTGCTGCACAAGCAAACCCAAATGTAACACGCAGAGCTTTGTAGTATATCCACTGGCAGACTTCCTGAGGAGTGTATTTATATAGCTAATGCATATGCACACATTTAAAATATGTTGATACAAAATATATCACTACGCCCATCTGCATATTTACTACTTTCTAAGAGTCTGCCAGAAAGAGGAATAGGCAAGATATTTTTTTAAAACAAACTATGCAGAAATATTTACACTGAGTGGTAAATTCTGCTTCCAGATTTGCCAAATACATAGAAGAGTTACTCTCACTTTACTAGACTGGCTGGGTTTATAGTAACACAGCCAAGGATGGATTTTTCTCTTGCGTTTGATTTGAAGGGTAATTTGACAAGCTGAGTTTGGTATGGTAGAAATATAATGTAAGTACCTGTAAAGAAAATTTTTGTAGATTGGTTGGCACTTTAGTTCATTTTTGTCTTGCTGGCTAGCATACTGTAAACATTTTCTTTCATTTTTCTTAATAGAGATATAAAATGTCATCCTCTGATGGCACGGTGGCTACCACAACTAGGAAGGATGTGAATTTTTTATACTTTGCATTATGGCAGCCTGTCACTACCATCAGATGAAGAAGTAGTCACTGTGTTGGCATGTCATCATGTCCTCGGAGGACGGCATTACCAAAGCAGTAACGCTGTGGCGTACTCAGGGGACTGAATTAAGACCAAGTTAATTCTGCATGCTCTAGTTCTCCAAAATGCACTGCGGCTCCCCGGCTGCGTAGGAGTGCAGCAGCACAGCAGCCCTCATTCCCAGAGCTCCACTGTACTTCAGTGATTGCTCATTACAGGATCACATACTCAAGCTGACCCTGCACAGGCACGCTGAAGTTAAGCATATGCTTAAGGTTTGGCTGGAGCAGAGGGTTGAATGCTCGGCTCTCTTTAGGAGGGGGTCCGAAACTGATTTTGTAAATGGAAAGTATAAAGTCAGATTTCCGGCCTTGGCTGTAAAAGGAACATCCAGAACAACCAGGGCTTAAGGAGCCGTTGCTGAGTTTCAGTTGTGGCTCCCAAACTGGCTGTACTGCTGGGGGACCTGGGCCACCTCTGGACTGTGCTGCTCTGTGTGGCTCTGGGAGGGTACAATACACACACCCCACCCCCCAGGGAAATTTTGAGATATAACTGTGGTGTGTGACCCAGTGTTTTGGGAAATGACTAAATTGAGGTCCTTGAAGGCTTGGCAGCACATGCTCTGTGCTGGTGGTGGGTGCTTTGGCGGATGCTGTATCTGCTGGGGGCAGCTCCCGGAGGTCTGAGCCAGCCCCAGAACTTTGGGGTTTGGATAAAGACGTGAATTTAAGGTAAATTGCATTTCAATTTCAAGATTTAAATATAGATTGCAAGGGTACGTTTTGACTGAATGTGATTTAGCAAAAACATCAGGAAAATTATTAGTCGAGGAATAGCTCGAAGTCAGTTATAGTGGATATTAAAGTGGTATTCTTGTGTTTTTTCTTTATGCACCACCGTGATTATTGGTAAGGTCATAAGAATATTTAAAATGTGTTTTAGAATTCAAAACAAATTCTCTTCCAGCATCAATCCGTTATTGTTTCCTATAGTACTCTAGTACTTCAGGCCTTTTCAGAACCTCCCCTGAATACTTTTTAAGCTCATTGTTTCTTCAGATAAAGCAGTTATGATTGTTTAAAATGTGCTATAACTTTTCAGCTGAGATAAGCAACACAGGGAAAAGATATCTCTAGTGATGTTGTGGTTTCCTTTTGCATCACTGTGCTCTGGTTTGGGGAAGTTGTTTTCTCTAATGATGTAGGTGGCATAGAGCCAGAGGGGGGGAAAAAGGTTGTGGTTCATGACCCCTTCCTTGCTGATGATGCTGTACTTAAGGGGGTGATTTCCATACCAGGGAAGGCCGGTTTGTAGCCAGAATGCCAGCCATGCCCAGCTCCTTAGACAGTGAGACTTCACTTGAGTGAAAAAAATCAGACTCTCTAGATTTGCCTGTTCTAGTTTCTTGCATCTTAGCATCTCTTGTTTGAGAAAGACAGGAAAAAAACAACACTTAAAAAAAAAAAAAGTAAAGCTTTGTCGACAAACTGCAAACAATATTGCAGGCTTTTGTCTCTTACTTGGGTTAAACCCTGCCCCAGAAGAATCTTTCAGTGCTTCCGAATTGCTCTCCTGTACTGGGTGGAAAGCTGTACAGCTTGGCTTTGGGACCACAGACTTGGAGCAAGCAGAAGTCATCTTACCCACAGGGCTCCTGCTCATCTGAGAGTTATAACCCAGGGGACAGAGATTAACACTAGACCATTTGACATCCTTTAGAAGGACACTGTGAAGCCCCACTAGCCAGCCAGAGGCTTGACACCTTCAAGGGGATCAATGGCGAATAAGAAAGAACAGGATTTTACAGATTATTTATTTTTATACCACTCTTCAATTCCTGCAAGACCTTCTGCCTCATCTTTGTTGGCTTGGCACTTCTGACCAGGAGAAGGCAGCTCATGACTAATGAATGCATCGAGTTTTTGCACCAAATCTTTGTGAAGCCAGGTGATATCTGGTCTGCATTAGGCAGGACACTGACAGTAAGATTTTGCCAGGAGAATTTTCACTCAGTCCCTGGCCCCTTCGGCTCTATGCCAGGCTCCAGTGCTATGAAATCACAGGTACAAAGCTTGACTGGCTCTTCCGTGCTCCTCACGGGGGCCCTGGGGCAGGGTTGACCTCAGGGAGCTGCAGATCTGGCAGTCTATTGCATCGGAGCACTTACTAATCCACCTCATTTAAAAAATGATGGCACTGCACATGGTGGCAGGTTTATCTTATTACAATTTTCCTTTTGAATACAGCAAGGATTGACATTATGAAAGCAGAGTTAGACTGTCTTCTCTCCCAAGTGAAGATAAATGGCATCATAAAAATCAGACATCATGTATCATATATGTTATAAATAATACCTGGTATCGAGGTAATAACTTAATTTTAAAGACACACATACACACAAATCCATATATCTACATCTCTCTCTTCTGTCATATTTGATCATCTTACTAATTAAAAGGAGCCTGCTATACTATTTTTAGCCATGCAGTCTCAGCCTAGCTGTTTAAACCACTGTAGTTTCCCATCTGCTTTAGAAATGATTTAATAATCAGATAGACAGAAGCTTAGTTCTCATAAGCTGAGATGATCCTTCAGGGCCAAGAGTAGAAGGAAAATATATCTTAATGAGTACATTTAGGGAAACCACTGCTGCTTTTGTCTCGCAAAGGAAGCCACCAAGTCTCTGTCTAACTTGTGCTGGTGGCTATTTACATTTAATAACAGGGGAAGCAGGAGGGGGTTCCTTTGTTGCATCATCCTGAGTATTATCTCTAAAAGCAGCAATGATTACTCCAGCAATAACAGGGATTAAGCCTATGGATACCAGCCTCGACAGGTAACTTAGATAAGCCTGGGCCGTGATCATACGCACAGAATCATAGAATTGCAGGGGTTGGAAGGGACCTTCAGAGATCATCTAGTCCAGCCCTGCTGCCAAATCAGGTTCACCTGGAGCAGGCAGGACAGGAACATATGCAGGTGGGTTTT